TAAGTGACAGGTACTATATCATATAGTTGCGGGATTTCAAGTATTGTCGTCATTTTAAACAGGGGTCATAAACGTTATACTGCAAAATTTTTTGTGTGCCAGCCGGGACAGATCATACGACTCTGGAGAATTTTTCATACCTTTTTTGGCATTAGGAGGGCCGCTCAGAAAAAATGGAGCCTAGTTTTGTACTTCCATGCATGTGCCCCTTTATCATGCAAAAAACCGTTTTCAAAAAGGGCTCCATGTCCTGAAAGACCTTCCTGGTTAGTTCCCTGCGCGGCACCTACTTTTGAGTGGCGAGAGTGTCATTGCATCCTGCTCCCTTGGCGTTGGAGCCCAATTTACGAATATTAGGTACCGGATATCTTAGTGTCGTTTTTTCACCGCGAGTTTCGGACCACCAATATTTTAATTCAAAATCCAGTGAGTGAAACGGCATATCCATCGAATGACTCATTAGCCCTTTCCCATTTACCAGTATGAGTGAAAACCTCGTACGATTAAAGTTAGGAATTTTTTGAGACGAAAAAGAGAGGTAGGTCGAATTTGACATCATCTGACAAATCATCCCTCTACCTTGCTAAACAGTTGGGCCTGGACAAAATATGTATACATTTAGTTAGAGTAGGGTCTGCACTGTTTGGTGGAAAATTTATTACTTACCAGCTCAACTGGACAATTTTTCCCGGAGTCTTTTTTGCCACATAGGGGTCAAAAACGCACCCTTTTTGAGCACACGTGAGTAGCAGATGAGCACATTTATTAGAATTTCTTGTGCAATCGTCTTCCTTTAAGCAATTGAGCACCATTGTTCAATCACTGCTAAAGTGTCCTACCATTTCAGCACAAGACTGGTGCAGCCCCGTCTCGACTGATTTAACTAGGACCACCTTTTTGACGACGGTTGCGGGCATCCCTTCAAAGACTTTACTGTCTTTTGAGAAAACTGTGAAAAACCGATGAGCATTTTAAATGGTAGTATTCCCTCCAACAAATGCAATGCTGGTTTGGTGGGCGGAGGTTACAGCTCTCAGGAAGAATTTTGAAGCATTTGATGCATTTGGTACACACATTTGCGAAGGTGCACACTAGGTACTCAGGTAATTTCAGGAAGGAAGTTATAGACATATGGGCCGAAAGTTAAATTGTGAACAACAATGAAGACGGTACGCCGCAACATATGTTCGGTTATGTATTATGATTGAGTGCTATAAGTAGGTCCTTAGGCGTATTGATTTCCATAGTAATCGGCCCCAAAACTTCCTGAACTCAGAAAAGCGACACTATGATATCCGGTACCTAATAAAATTGGCTGGCTATTGGGACCTAACCCGACCCGTGATTCAAGTGTCTGGTCATCATTGGAAATTCAAACTTGCAGTTTTGAATGTATTCTGCTACTTGAATGAGGTGATTCACGTTCCAGATTATATTGATTATTGACGTTTACCTCAGCAGAGAGAAGTTAACATTGCGTGATTATTTTATGTTTGAAAGAAGATTTGGAAGTGGTTCATTCTTGACGTCTAGAAGAGGAAGGCGTCAATGAAAGATGACCGCGAGGGAGAATGAACAATGACTTGTTCTTCGCCGTTTCTCAGAATTAAAGTGTTTTCAATGTTATAAGAGGTGAGATTGAGAATTAGCAGCCTAGTTGAATTTCAGTCTATGAATGGAACTGTTGCTTGAGACTTCAACGGCCATACTCTTAAAATATGTGAAACAAAAATCCAAAATTAATTTAATAGAGAGAGTGTTGTGTTCAGTGCGTTTCAGATATCTATAGGGACCGTACATTTCCGTTGCGTGAGTTCGTGGGCAAAGCAGTGAAATACATTTTGGATAGACGCGCAATGAAAGAGACGAAGAAAGCGTGATATTGAGTTGAATTGTGCTCCTTGTGTTTTGCCTTAGGTTTGCCTCGTATTGTAATGAACTCTTCACATGAATCGTTCAAGGTTTCTGACACGCGATCGCTTCGTTTATACACACATGAGCTGAAGTTGTGACAGACTGGGGTCTCTTGAGTGTATCACATTCCAGTTAGGAACTGTTCAAAGATAGGAACGATTATCGTGCCTGTTTAGTCAATTGCTCGTCTCGCTCCCTCTGCTGAAACTCACACAATTTTCCAGATTTCTGGTTCATTCTAGAATTAAAATAAAACTTCCCCCATATTCACCACCTATTTCAGCAAAAGCTCTTCCCCCATGATGGGTGAACCTTCGCTTGATTCACGTGTACTTTCCACATTTCGGTGCACACAGTTGTGTGAAGCAATAGCAAGCCCCCCCCCCCTCACGGGGAGAGAAGAACGCGTATCTCTTCTCCAAGCTATGCTCAGCCAGAGGGAGATGGAATTGCGTCATAACCCCCCCCCCCATACCTTATCGTTTCTTTACTTCCGACAGTTAAAGGCAAAGGTCGGGCTCAGGCACGCTAGAGAAGTAATTCCCGTGCCTGGAGGTTGTATGTGGGTAGCTGCACACATTGCAGCAACTTCCCACCTTGAAAAACCCGTTAAGGCCCCGGGGCGTTCGGTTTCAATCCAGGGCCGCCTGGTCAATCCGGACCGCCCACCTCCGGAAGTGGTGCGTGGCTGGCATAACGTGTGAAATCAGCTAGGTTGATTGCCGTATCAACCGATAGAACGACTGACATCTCCAGAAAACTTGTTTGTACGTGCCTCTTTCCCCAAGCCAGCCTCCTTCACTGCTAGTGGGAAAGAGGGTTTTGTTAACGGTTTGAGCGGTCAAGTCACATATGTTTTTGACTTTTTCAGGCTCTGACGAAGGCGAAGAAGCCGAAACGTTAGCCTTAATAAAGTTTTCTAATCTTGGACGGCTACAGTCAAGTACTCATCTGATCAAAACATTTGTTGCCTCGACAGTAGCTGAGGGGTACAGGTTTTGAGTGGTTCTCCAACTATTAACCACATGCGAGTGCACACCTCAGGGCGGAGTAGCTTACCGCAAAGTGTCCATTCCGAACTGCTCATGTACAAAAATATTGTTCTACAGGAGATCCAATGTCTTCAATGTGGACCCAATTTAGTAAAATTGTGCCCACTTGGGCAGCTTTTCTTTTGGAGCCTTAAAGCAAAGTTGGAAAAAAGGACTTGCTTGTCGGCGGCTTCCTGGAGAGTTTAGTATCCGTTTTGAAGCAAAAAGCTTGTGCTTTGTCATGGTGATCTTATTCCCATGAAATTGAGTCTGAAGAGAACGGTAATAATTTGAATGTTGAAAACTCGCGTGTTGAGGAGAGAAGCTCCAAAAACTCGTGAAAAAAAAACGAAGCAACGGGAAGTTTTTTGAAATGTCATTTTGGAAGCGGTCAAGTATTCCTTAGAAAGCTCCAACATTCTAGTTTTCTCCAGGGTGTAATGATTTGCAAAACGTTCAGTCTGAAGAAGGTTACGATCCAATGATACAAATTTTTTGACTCCGTCAATTTTGAAATGAATCTGAATTCCAATTGTTCAATTGGAAGCTCTATTCCCCTACTTTTTTCCAGCGAAGGGACATGAAGAATTATAGTCAAAAAACCCGCTTGTGCTGAAAACAATGAAACGGCCGCGATTTTTCTGACCGGACTTTTTTTGAGTTCGGTAACATGATATAGACTTACTTTTGCTGCTGGCAAGGTCTGAAAATTTGCTGATCCTCGAGCTCTCTGATGAGACTCAATGTGCTCATGCGGAGGAGCGCATTTAGTCTTTCCATAGAGCTCGAGGAGGTGGCGGACGTGTGGCGCACGTCAAAACGAATTAACCATGCACTTCGCCAGTTCATATTTTTCAAAGCATTGGCGTTAAGAGGTTACTCATACTTTTCTGAGACCAGCATCCTTGATTAACAATATTCAACCCAAGACTGTCCTGCAGTTGCAGTCTTGTTGTATTCCGTTGCCAATTCACTTCTCGCGGTTCTCTCACCTTTTATGGCCCTTATGTAGAACAAGTGCTGCCTTATCAGCACAGAACCGGGAGCGAAGGTGGTCCGGCTCGCATTCGCTCAGCGTGCGTCACTAAATGAATGGCCTTGTGAGCTCTTCACGGCCTTAATGTGAATAAAAGGACACCTAACGGTTCCTTATCATCGCGTGCTGTTTTACGGTACATCAGCAAATACGTGGCAGGTCGGTTTTTGATCGAACCTCTACCGCCAGTTGCGATAAAATAAAAGAAGTTCGTCGAGAACACGCAAAATAGACTTCTTCATATACCCGTTGACCTCCGACAATGGACGAGCCAGCGACCAAGGAGGGGTTGTTCACATGTGGTACCCCATAGTCACCATCATGCCAACAAAGCTCATGCTTTCCTTTCAAAATAATCATCGAACAATGGTGCTGCTAGCAACAAGCTGGTAGGTGGACCATCGAAGGGTTGGCGGCAGGGTCAAGCGAACCGTCGAGGAAAATTTGGAAATACGATTCGTTTAAGAAGTACAAAAGGGAAAAAGTCAAAGAATGATCATTAATGATGAGTCCTACCAAACGAGCAAACGAGAAAGGAGCAAAAACGACAAACTAGTCACTAAAAATGGCATATGACAATATCTCTTCTTTGCACTCATTTGAAAACTTCCACTTGAAATCATTCTTCCAGTGAGTGTCTTATAGGTCATTTTGAAAAGATTCCACCTTGCCCGTGAGCGCTCCACAAACTCAGACCGCTCCTTCTACCCCTCGAAGCCAGACGACCGTGCAATGCTCAACCGGGCTAGGCACTCGAATTCACTACAGTGATTTTCTGCAAGGAACATAAACGGTGAGTCTTCCGAAGCGAGGCTGATTGAATAATGAGAAGACCCTCCTTTGACGGTAGATTCGTGAGCTACAGGAGTACAATTCCAGTTTGAAATGAACTTGTGGTACTTTGTGCAACAAGTTCGGGTACATTTTCTGAAATTTGGTTGGATGTAACACTGCAGCTATCATGGAGGGATGTGGGCATAATTCCAAAGCATTCCAGCACCTCTTCACCTCAGCCCTACCGGCCATGTAGTCACGGTTAACGTGGCCTAGTATGGCTTTCATGACACTCTGTTTTGGGGCTTTGCGTGGCTTGATCATGACTGATATGTACTCCTCAAAAAAAAAACTACTGCGTAAGAGGAAGTACCGAATGAGTCCATAGGGTACTTCTTTGGATGGGCTAAATTTCTCCTCTTAAGGAGGTGATCTTTTCAAGAAATTCAGAAAAGCTAGGAACTCGTTTGTTTTTGCTGTCAAATTTGCTCCTTACCCGTTCGGGGACGTGTGATAATTGATGAGGAGCTAAAGAGTGCAGGTTGAAAAGATTTCAAATTTTACTAACGCGAAAATTGAATTGCTCTGTTCTTTTGAAGAAAATGGGCCGCGTCAATTGCTTATGCCATCCTAAAGTTTCTTCAGAATTTCTCATGTCTCTAACGCTATTCAGCTACGGTGTGCATGCAGTACAAATGAGAAAATCCTAATAACGCTGACCTCGTGCGAAAGGATGCCCACCTCCTTCCCTCTCCAAACCTCCTGCAGAAAAAATCTCACCATGACGACGAAAATCGACATCTGATCTTACTTCGACCAGAACTCAGTGGAGTTCTGCGGGAGAGGCATCGTTCAGCATCTGGTGCGTCAGTAATAGGTTATAGATATCGAGTCACTTGTGGGGTTCAGCCGCTGTGAGAGCTAATGGCTCCATGCTCCCAGAGAAGTTTGAAACCGATTAGCCAAGGGACGGAGGGCTTGGTTGTCCAGGGCTCAGAACCCGAACGGGGGTGCACTGTAAGCTGTGCCACTTGCCACTATACCACTTCCTCGCTCTTGAATTAATCTGGGATAAAGCCCCTCTGGGTGGGCAAAACATCCGTTTTCAAGTCGATTGTGATTAAAGAAACCCTGTTACTATCTGCACCCTACTTTTTGGGATATTTTAACGCGCTGCGCTATCGAAATGTGCGCCAGACAACGAAATTAAACATTACAGCAGCTCAAAACCTTCTAAGATCCTCTAAAAGGCAAACTGGTTTGGGATGCACACAAATGTGAAGGTATCGGTGCTTAATGGACCGGTAATAGATCAACAAGTCGAAGAATTCGTCGAAAACGCTTGGATTAAGGGCTAACTCCTTTCGTAGTGCTGCTGTGCTAAGGCAATAAGATCCTGAGCGAGAGTACGAGGCGAGAAGTCGCATCAGAGAGCGTCAGACAGCGGCCTGCTGCGGATAGGGAGCATTGCAGCTGCTGCAGCTAATTTTTCAAGGCTCCAGCGCCTCTGTCAGACGAATTCCACTCCTTTACTTTCCGATTCAATGCCGGTCCATTTGGCACCAATATTTTCACTTCGTGTACCAAAATCACACCAGTTTGATCGTAAGGGACGCTAAGGTGAATCTCAAAAGGATGGAAGCTGCCAAAACGTTTAATTTCCTTGTCTACAGCACAATTCAATAGCGGCAGAAGGCTGGGAGGAGCAGCAACAAATTTATTACGTCCAAAGTATTCACAAAGACCTAGTCTTCGCTTCCTTTTTTGAGAATAAATATTTGATTTAGACTTGGCTACGCGGAAAGAAAGAGCTGGAAATCGGCGCGTTTATGAGTTAATTCGGAACCCCAAAGTCGCATTCAATGCCCATGCTATTCTGAATGGATTGAGCACGTTGGGCATCTCAGAGGAGTTGAATTACGTCACGCATGTCACCAATTCGCATTTTCTCAGGTTCAAAGGGTTACCCAACTTTTTCTAATTTCAGTAAATTCTAAGTAAACACATCCAGCTCGGGACTGTCCTGAAGGTTGCAATCTACTTGTGAGCCCCTTCACCATACTCAACTTTTATTATCTCTCGACTTCTCCTCACCTTTCAAGGCCCTAATGCGGAGTAAAGCAGTCTTATCTGTTTTTCGCAACGTGTTGAAACGGTGGAAGGACAGAGCTGGTTCGAGTTTGCTTCTTTTATCTCTTGTCACTGATAAAACAGACTACTCAGCGTTTCATGGCTGTGACGCCCTATAAAAGGCCGACACCTTACGGTTACGTATAACTTTTACGGATACGTCAACAAAATCTTGACAGGTTAGTTTTTTCTCGAATCTCCTTCTGAGGTTTACCCTGGCGCCGTTCGACAATATCATATCCTTACGTGTTTTTGATTATCTATTCGGTTGCTAAGTTACTACATATGGTGATCCTAAGGTGCAGTACAACAGAAGTAAGTAAGGAAAATCATACGTAGTACTGCCTCTGATTCCCATTCAGGCAACGTATAGCATACTCGCAAACCATTATTTGGTCATGAAAAGGGATGATCGAAATCACATAGGTTTTGGCCAAGATGATAGCCTTGATCAAACCGGGTCTAATGAAGTAAGGAACAATCAGTTTGCTTCAATTTTTTACCCTCATTTTCGAATAAGACCAGGCTTGAGCTCCCGATTGCATTGACGGCACTTGCTGCATGGCAACGTCGTCGAAGCTCCATTTCAATTGAAGTTTCAAAACGAAAGCTCGAAAACCACACATACCAACATATTTGAGGAAAGCATGAATCGCCTATCATTACGACACCCATCGTGATAGGATCTCAGACTAAGTGAAATTCTAGCGAAAATTTAGGGCCTAGTGATTTTCGATTTTGAGTTTACGACTCTTCACTAGCATATAGTTTGAGGGGAAGAGCTCGTCACGCACGCATTGAACTTATTAACCCATAACGGACGGCCAGTGTATTTGTTGCGTGCGCCACATGGTGGCGCACGCCGCCACCAGGGTAGGGTTTATGTAGGCTTATGCGAACAGCAGGGTTAAGACGGGGCTAAAGTAGGTGTCCTTGTCTCATCATCCAAAAGAAGAGATTTCCGTTGACGACAACTTCGTAACCCGCCTTTCCGCTCTAAAACTAGGGTGCAAAGAATGAATGGAAGCTGCAGGTGACATCATCGAAAAATGCGAAACAACAACCCCGAGCAAGGATGTGGCTATATTTAGGGGAAGGGGTCTCGGGACGTGTGAACCATGGTAAGCCACCCATCAAATAGTAAACTTATGTAAATTAAGACAAAGTGTATAAAATTTATTGTACATACACCGGCTAGTTTCTAAGTCGGGGGCAACCAAATCTTCCAGCCCTCGGCTAATTGCTTTCAGACTTTTCTATGAGGATGAACCCATTGGTTTGCACATCGGCTGACCACAAAATTCACCACAGGGGCCAATTTGCGTTCGAAATGCCGCAACAATTCTGAATGGAAATAGATTGCGTGGCGCATTTCAAAAGGAATTGCCTAATGCCGAATGAGGGGATAAGGAAATGCGGCCAATGAGAGGCGAAAAGCACGTACTGCTTCATATTTGAGCCCCATTCTCCCGATTTTGCTATCGCTCCTCTGAAATGCGCCCTAAATTCGTGATATCTACAGATTAAGCAACCTAATTCGCGTCAGAGAGAACACTTCAACGACGAGCCCCTAAATAATGCAAATTGGATTGTAAAAAGCTTTGCTGTTAAATGAACAACTCGATAAAATTGTGTAGTTATTAGGAGGTGCAGCGATTCGATTCTAGTGATCCTCGACAACTCAGCTTTTGCTTCCTTTTTTCAGGTCGATGGTGATTGATGATTTAGATTTGATTATGCGAAAACTGGAAATCGGCATTTTCGAAGCTATTGTAGACGCCAAATCCGCTTTCGAAGCCTCTGCGATTATGAATGAATGCCGAATGTGTAGGCGTATCTCGAAGGAGTTGAACAACGCCACAAATTTCGTCTCATAACCCTTTCTGAGGCAACACTCGCAGTTCAAAAGACGGCCCATTTTTACTACAAGCCGGTCACCACCTGATGGAACTCGCGGGCACGGCTGTAGCGTTCGCCGTGACCCAAATGCTCATCACGCCCGAAATTCTGCGCCGCCGCGGCATTGGCCGAGGTCACCAGGTTCCAGCCGGCACGCCCGCCGCTCAGGTGATCCAGCGAGGCGAACTTGCGCGCCACGTGGTACGGCTCGTTGTAGGTGGTGGTCGCCGGTGGCGATCCAAGCCGATGTGCTCCGTCACTGCACTCAACGCCGACAGCAGCGTCAGCGGCTCGAAATGATCCGAACGCGCCATATGGCTGGCGA